CTCTATTTTCTAAGCGACGTTCCCTATACGTCACTGTGACTGTTGAGCAATGTAGTGCCCATGCACTACAATACACCTGAAACCATTTCAGTTGTTCAATACATCAATCGATCTCTGCAGCTCTTTTTCTTTCTCTTTTTAATTTCCCCATCGTGTTTAACATTGTTTACAAGTGGAAATTCAAGACTAAAAAGGCAGACGAGAGCAGACAAATAGACTGTAGCAGCTGCAACAGCGCGAAACACAAACGAGCAACGAAAAACTAAAAAAGACAAATGAAGTACCAGAGAAACCATAGCTAGAAGAAACAGGAAAAGAAAAAATAGCATCAGCAAACGGAATTTAGTGTTTTTGTTCGTCTTGTGGCAACGAGCCAATGAATTAGCATAAGCAACCCGCAGCAACAGAAACAGCGGAGCAGCAACAGAAGCAGCAGCAGCAGCAGCAGCAGCAGCAGAAGCAGCAGCAGCAGCAGCAGCCTCCGTTGGTCAATGGAGGCTCCACCCAATTCTGAACCTTCGCCCCCCAAGCAAGTAAGGCAATTGGTATGAGTAGCAGCAGCTGCTGTTGCTGCTACAACAGCGGCTGCAGCAACAGCAGCTACAGCAGCAGCAGCAGCTGCTGCAGCAGCAACAACAACAACAACAGCGGGAGTAGTGACAGTGAGAGCTGCAGCAAGCACATTAGAAGCATCAACAATAAGACCCGCAGCAGCAGCAACAGCAGGAAAAGCAACAGCCGCCGCTCCAACTGCAGGAGCAACAGTGGCAGCAGCAGCAGCGACAGTAGGCGTAGTAGCGGCAGTAGCAGCGACAGCACCAGCAGCAGCAGCAGGTACAGCAGCAGCAGCAGCAGCAGCTCAGTATTTCGTTTCTTATCTTTTTCCTGCTGCAGCAGATGGCTTTAGGCATGCAGCGACGCAGCGGCAGTTTTGCTGCTGTCTTCCTTATACTGCTGAGGCGATAGGGTGTTTAGGGTTTAGGGTTTAGGGTTTAGGGTGCATGCAAAGCATAAAGTAATCTAAACATTTGTCTATAGATGCAGGATTTAGGGTTTAGGGTTTAGGGTCTTGGTTGGGGGGAGCGGCGCCTTTCGTTCTGCTGCTTATCTCTTTACGCTTGTCTTCTGCTGCTACTGCAGTTGCTGCTGCTTCTGCTGCTCCCGCTGCTACTGCTGCTGCTGCTGCTGCCGCTGCTGCTGCTGCAGTTTCGCCCTTGTCTTTGTTTGTTACACGCAGATGCGAAGACAGCCGTCTAGCAAAGGCCAGCAGCAGCGCCAACCGCAGCAGCAACAACAACACCAGGAGGAGCAACAGCAGCAGCAGCAGCAACAGCAACAGCAGCAACAGCAGCAACAGCACCGGAAGGACGAGCAGCAGCAGCAGCAAGAACAGGAGAAACAGGTGGCGTCATCACAACAAAAGGAGCAGCAGCAGCAACAGCAGCAGCAACAACAGCAGCAAGAGCGAAAGCAGGAGGAGCACGCGGCCTATCCTCAGCAGCAGCGACAACAGCAACAGCCCCAGCAGCAGCAGCCCCAGCAGCAGCAGCAACAGCCCCAGCAGCAGCCGCAGCAGCAGCAACAGCAGCAGCAGGAGGTCCGTTGCGGTGATGACGATTTATGTTTAGGTGTCAAAGAGAGTGGAGACAGCGAGCTTTGTGCGTCAGCTCCCCCCCTAAAGAAAGACAAAAAACATAGAAAACCCAAAAGAAAGGCGAGGCAGCAGCAACGGGAAGCTGCAGCAGCAGCAGCAGCAGCAGAAGCAGCAGCAGCAGAAGCAGCCGCAGCAGAAGCAGCAGCAGCAGCAGCAGGGGATAACGCCGTGTGCTGCAGCCTAGCGGGGGCTTCGCTGCCCCCGCATGCAGCTGAGGGCCTCCAGCTGCATGCGTTGAAGGAGGAGGCGCTGCTGCCCGCAGGCAGCAGCAGCCGCAGCAGCGGAGGCGGCAGCAGCAGCAGCAGCACCAGCAGCGGCAGCGGAAATGCAGCAAGACGACGACGAAGACGCAACCGCAGATCTTGTGGGGAGCAGCAGCAGCAGCAGGAGCAACAGCAGGAGCAGCAGCAGCAGCAGCAGCAGCAGCAGCACCAACAGCAGCACTCCGGCAGCAGCAAACCCCACCCTCCTAAGAAGCAAACAAACACAGTTGCTGTCTCTGCTGCTGCTGCTGCTGCAGCAAAGAAACAAACAAATGCTGCTGCTGCCGAAGCAGATGCAGCAGCAGCAGGAGCAGCAATGAACAAAATAAAAAGTGCTGTCCTGGAGCTGCTGAAGGTAAAAATCCCGAGGTGTACATACACCCCAATTGCTGCTTATATTTTTTATATTTATTATTTATATATTATTTATTCTTTTTTTACTCCTTTACTATTATTTTATTGTGATGTTATTGGTATATTACTTCTTTCTTTTTAGTTTGTTACTGATATAGTCTGTCTTTCTTTTTTGTTTTTTATTTATATATTATTTCTTTCTTTCTTTTTTTTTGTGTGTATATATTTATATTTAGGTTGTGCCTGGGGATACACTGTCTGATGAGGTGCTGATGAATACACCGCGTCGAGTAGCCGAAAGTTTTTTGTTTATGACGAGGGGGTATAAACAAAACATTCAGGGTGAGGCCACAGCAGCAACTCCTGGGGTGTACGTACACCCCAGCAACAGCAGCAGCAGCAGCTGCTGCTGCTGCTGCTGCTGCTACAGTAGTAATCAAGCAGCACAAACAATGTAAAAAACCTAGCTTCTGCTGCTGCGGCAGTAATAGTAAAGTAACAAAACAGCTGCGCATACACCTCAGTTGCTGCTGCTGCTGCAGCAGCAATAATCAAGCAACACAAACAATAGATACACCGCAGCTGCTGCTGCAGCAACAGTAATAAAACAACACAAACAGCAGTGGCATACATCAGATAAGCAAAGAAACAAAAGTGTAGCAACAAAAGGAACAGACTGGTAGTAGCATCATATGGGTTCGTGAGGTGTATAGGCAGCTCGTGAGGTGTATAGGCAGCTCGTGTGGTGTATAGGCAGCGTTTGTTGCTGTTGATTTTCTGTTTGTTTTATAAGCATGAGTACTTATTCCAAATATATTTTCTAATTGTGAATAAAAAAACAATTTAATAATTTATATTTATTTGTTTTTTTCTTTTTTTTTTTTTGTTGCTGCAGATGCAGTAGGAGAGGCGGTGTTTGCTGCTCCTGGTGGTGATAAAGGGGGGTTGGTGGTCGTTAAGGATTTGTCTGTTAGCTCTTTGTGCGAGCATCATCTCCTACCATTTCAAGGATCATGCTCCATAGTGTACAACTGCTGCTGCTGCTGTTGCTGCTGCTGCTGCTGCTGATGCCAGTGATAGTGCTGCCGCTGCTAGTCGTATTGCTGCTGCTGCTGCTGCTGCTACTCTTATTGCTGCTGCTGTTGCTGCGACTGCTTCTAGTGATTGATGCTGCTGTTGCTCATGCTGTTGCTGCTGCATCGTCTCCGTGGTACTGTTTCTCTTGCTGCTGTTGCTGCTGCTGCTGCTGCTTCTGCACCTTCCTTCGCTGTAATTCCCTGACATTGAAGAGCCCGTGCTGCTGCTGCTGCTGTTGCTGCTGCTGCTGCTGCTGCTTGCAGGTACTTGCCTAGACACCACATTTTGGGTTTATCGAAATTTTCCCGCATAGTTGAGGTGTTCGCGCGCCGTCTGCAGCTGCAGGTAATTTATGTTTTTATTTTTTCTTTTTTTTGCTTTTTATTTTTATTTGTTTTCTGCTGTCTCTCTCTTCTCTCTTTTTTCTCTTCTTTTCTCTGTCTCTTTCTTTGCTCTTCTTCGTTGGTTGATTGATTTGTTTATCTTTTCTTCCTTTATTTATTTATTTATACATATATTTATTTATTTTTTTGTTTTTTTTTGTTTCTTTATAGGAGAGGCTCACTGCTGAGATTGCAGACGCAATAGAAGAAATTTTATCTCCGCTGGGGCTCCTCGTTGTTATTCAATGCTCGTATGTTTTTTGTTTTTTTTTTTTTTTTGTTTTTTTTAGTTGTCTCTTCTTTGTTTTGGTTTTGATTTTATTTGTCTCCTTTCTTGTTTTTGTTTTGTCTTTTATTCTTCTCCTCTTTGTTTTTGTTTAGTGTTTATTTGTCTCCTTTCTGTCTTTGTTCTGTTTTTATTTGTTTTTACTTGTCTTCTTTTTGTTTCGTTTTTTAGTCTTTGCCTGCTTCTTATCTTTTTATTTATATTTGTAAATTATATTTATCTATGTAAACCTATATTCTATTTATTTTTTATTTGTTGTATATCTCAATTTGTTCATTTAATTTTTAATGTATTTATGGATTTGCTTCCTTTTTTCTTTTTTATTTTCCTTCTTTATGTATTTATTAGTTTATATATTTATTTATTTATTTCTATATTTATTTATTTATTTATTTATTTGTTGTTGCAGGCATAGTTGTTTGTCTCTGCGTGGTTTCTCATCGACAGCAGCCACCACAAAAACCTCAGTCTTTAGGGGGGCCTTCAGGTGATTGTTTTTATTAATTTTTATTTATTTTTATTTTATTTATTTTTATTTTATTTTATTTTATTTATTTTTATTGTTTTTATTCATTTTCCTTCTTCTTTATTTCGTCTATCGTTTCTTTTCTTTTTTTATTTATTTTTTTTCTGTTTTATTTTTTGAAATATTTTTGTATCACGTTTGTTATTCTTCTTTTTAATTTTTTTGTTTTCTTTTTTCTTTTTTTTTATGTCTTTTCTTTTTTATTTATTTTTGTTGTTTAGCTGTTTATAAACAAACAAAAAACAAGTGCAATGACATTTTGCGTTTTTGTTGTCTCTTCTTTCTCTGTCTTCATTTTTTTCTTCTTTCTTCTTTCGTTTTCTTCCCTATATATATATATATATATATATATATATATATATATATATATGTATATATATATTTGTATGTACTGTCTCTTTATTTTTGTTTTCTTTCTGTTTTTTTTTGTGTGTATACGCAGGGATGATGCGTCGCTGCGGGCGACTGCTTTGTCTTCATTAGATTAGTTTTATCTGTCTCTTCTTTTTTCTTTATCTGTCTCTTCTTTTTTCTTTGTCTGTCTCTTCTTTTTTCTTTATCTGTCTCTTCTTTTGTCTTTCTCTCTGTCTCTTCTTTTTTCTCTCAGTCTCCTCTTGTTCTCTTTATTTGTCTTCTTCCGTTTGCTTCCCTTTTCTCTCTCCTTTTGTCTCTCTCTGTCTTTTTCTCTTTCTGTCTCTGTCTTTGTCTCCTCTTGTCTCTTTATCTGTCTCCTTTTGTGTAGACCTCTGTCTTTGTCTCCCCCTGTCTCTGTCTTTGTCTTCTTGTGTTTCTATCTCTGTCTCTTTCTTTGTCTTTGTATTTGTCTCCTTTCGTCTCTGCTTCTTTTCTTCTCGTCTCTCTCTCTGCCTTTGTAGACAGAGAGAC